GCTGGGCCTCAGTTCCCCCGTGGTTAATCTGTGAATCACTTGCAAGGTACAAAGCCTGTGAGGGCTGAGGTGTGGATTCAAACCCAGCCTCTCTTCCAACTTTAACTTCTATGATCTGCAGGCCCTCTACCTGCCCAATGCTTTGTGCACAAGATACTGTCTCCCCATCTCCATAAAAGTCTCTAACCAGAGCCCCCACCAAAATAAGAATAGGTCTTACCCAAAAATGTTCTCCAAAATATGACATCCTGGTGGCCTTTGTGAAGACCCTGCCCAGGACCTGTCTGAAGAGAGAGGCAAGTTTGAGCCTGGGTCACAAGCAGTGCAGGGCTCAGGAGGGGAAATTCCAGCTCTCCTCCATGAGGAGGACAGAAAGGGAGGAGGAAAGAGGAAGCAGAAGCCCCAGGGTTGGGAGCACGCCAGGGCCTTGGAGAGGGTTCAACCCTGGTCCTGTCACCCCCAGCCTGGGAGAGGAGATGACCCAGGTCTCATGGGGTCAGAATGGAGTAGATGGAGGAATGGGGATGTGGGGGGTCTGGATTGGAGGAAGGGGCATGGGAAGTAGGGTTTTTAAGCTTGTGTAAGAGTTCATGGGCGAGGGTGGATGAGGATGGATAAGCGCAGTGTAGGGGAGACACTCTGGGCCATTTTATAGATAGGAAAGGTGATTCCCCTCCGAGGAGGGAAGCTACTTGCCAAGGTTGCAGCCAGGAAGTAACAGTGGATCTGTACCCTGAGCCAGCTGGGCCAGGCCTGAGCTCTGTGCTCCCCACTGGCAGCTCCTGTGGGAAGAGGAGTCTGGTGAGAGGTGAGGCCAGGGTCCCCACCGTGTCCCCAAACACCCCTCGGGCCTTCTGAACCCCCTACATGCAGCCCCATCCAGGGAGCCACTGCTTACCCAGTGTTTGGGTCACTGTCCGGCTCTGTGCCTCAGTTTCCCCATCTGCAAAACAAGACAGAATGCCTAGCAGGGGTCTCACTGGAGTACCCCGTGTCCCGCCGCTCAGGACCCACGGTGGGGGAGGGACTGGGTGTCCTTGGCACACTCTCCAGGCCAGCTCGTCACTGGAGCCCGCAGACTCATCCATAATTCACAGCACAGAGGGCAGTGCAGCAGCAGCTGGGAGCCCGAGGGGCTCGGTGGTGGCAGGGACAGGGGCTGGAGAGGACCCTGGGTCCCTCTAGGAGGGGAGGCCCAGATGTGTCTAGGAGGCCAGAGTTAGACACAGGCCAGATGGAGGGACAAAGGCTGGGAAGCCTGGACTGCAGGAGGGGGCCTGGCAGTGGGGCTTTAATGCATAAATAGGAGTTCACTAGGCAAATAATTACTGTTTCACAAATGGACCCGACTACCACCCAGTGCTGGGTGATGCTTCAGCCGCTGAGAACACTGAGCTCCCAGTGCAGGCCTGAAGAACAAAACTTGGCACGGTGGCACATCCTAGGTGGAGGAAAGCCCCCAGTTCCCATCACTTCTTCGTTTCTTGCCATGACCTGGGTCACGGGCCTCTCCAGGTCCCTTGGGTCCTGCTGGGCCCATGTGGCCACTGAATTTCACACTAAATGAGAGACGCAGTCCCGCATGCCCTCTTCCCAGTGCCACAGTCTGCCTGGGGCTCAGTGGCCCCGGGGCTGGTGGCTGAGTGAGGGAAGGAAGTTCTGCCGGGTGCAGGTGCGAGGCTCTGGGGATGCAGTGCCCCTGGGCTGTTTCCTAGAATCCGTCATCTCCCGCTGTCTCAGGCTCTGTTTAGGTGGCCATGGCGTCCCTAGCCCCGAGGAGTGGCAGGGCCTTTGGGTGCCGCTGCTCCTGCTTCGGACATGCGTGTCCCTCACCCTCCCTGTCCCACCACCTCCTGCACTCACTTTTCCCTTAACAGACAGGGAAACTGAGGCACAGAGGCCTTCAGCGGCCTCTGGGCTGATGACTGGCCCTGCTGTGGCCACGTGTGGCCCTCCAGGGGCCCCTCTGGCTCCCAACCTCACCGCCACCCAGAGCCATCACGGCAGGGCCCAGCCCCGGAAGTGACACCTGCTACTGGTCCCCAAGCCCAGGCCGGCACAGGGGCCTCCTTCCTGCTCCTGCTCGGGGGTGCAGAGGGCATGTGAGGGTCCCTGGCTCAGGTTCAGACTCACCAGATGGGCACAGGGGAGCCGGGGGGCCCCTGTGGGACGGGGCTGGCACTGGGACGAAGCCACAAGGCCCTGGCGCTTCCGTCAGCCCAAGGGGAGGCCTGCGTGTGTGGGGGGGACAGGAAGCTCACTCTGCCCCGCCTACCACCAACCGCCACCTCCCCTCCCGCCCTGCCGGCTCCCCTGGGACCTCCCAGAAACACAAGGAGGCCACACGGGTGGGTAAACTGACGCACCTGACCTGGGGCGCCAGACAGGGGCTGTTATTACCAAGCCGGTATAACCAGGAGAGGGGACGGTGGCAGCGTCCACCACCCAGCCCCAGTCCTGGCTCCACAGCCCACATGTCCCCAGGCCAAGGTGGCCTACAGGCGCCCACTCTGTGGCAACTGAGGTCAGACGGGAGAATCACTGCGGCCTGAGGAGGCCCCGGACGAAAACGAAATTCAAACTTATAGTTTACGACAGCACTGGTACCAAGACACACGTATCAGTATTAAATGCCAAAAGAGTTCCTTCCATCTACACTTCCCCTTCCCCTCTGACGTGAGAAGTTAAAACTCCTCTCGATCCCCTAAAAGTATCCCGAGCCCCAAACCCTCTGCTTCCTGATGCTGAAGGAGAAGTCGGCTTCGTGGGACCCCAGAGCTCCAGCCTGGCAGTGCCAAGCCCAGAGAGCACAGCGCCTTGCCCAGGGTCACACAGGGAGGCCGCTGGCCCCAGCCGCCTCCCAGCTCTGCTCCGAAAACCCGGGGCGCGGGAGCTGACCAAGCAGGGCGGGGAGAGAATGGGCCAGAGAGCCTGCCGAGCTCCTCGCCTGGGAATCGGGTCAGGGCTGCCCAGGGCTCTGGAGGCCCTGACCTTGCGCTGGCTGACCTGTGGCCACCCTGGACAGGACCGCTGGGGGCCTCCAGGGCCCTGGGCCACAGGCCTTCGTGGGTGTCACGCTGTTTCAGTGACAGCTCTGTCCCAGCCCCCTCTCAGCCCAGCCACCAGGGCTCTGGCCACGTACAGTCCTCACACGGGTGTCTGCCAGGACTGTCTCCGCTCAGCCAGCACCTGGTGGGGAAGCTGAGGCACACGCCCCAGGTCCCCGGTGACTCAGCCACTCAATGGCATCTGAGCTCAAGTTCAGGGCTCTCCCCTCCTTCCCCGCCGGCTCTCTCCCTTCGGCACACACCTATTGAGCACTGGCTGTGTGCTCAAAGGGGGGGTAGAGGGTGGGGGGACATAGGCTCCTCCCCCTTCAGGTCTGCCGTGACCTGCTCCCAAGCACACAGATAACAATTAATATTGGAACCATCACATCTGCACCGAGAGGCCACCTCCTCCCAGTCTCCTCTGATCTTCCCCATGGGGTTCAGCCCATTTCACAGAGGAATAAAACAAGGCGGCCGAGGCAAAGCCACA